CCATGCCTAATTTTATCATTTTATCACTGACTCACTTGGTCTTGCAAAGTCCTTCTGCAACATCCCAGGAAGTGTTAGGAAGATACGGGAACATGGAGTAGTGGTGGGCTTGGTTGGGTTAACGGTTGGAATTGATGATTTCAGTTTTTCCAACCTGAATGATTCTGTGATCATATCCTTGTCTTTACAACCAGAATATTTTACATATGTATTATAGATATTATGATTCTGTAATATCTCAGGATCAGAATTAGTTGTTATTTCAGGAATTCAGCCATTGAGATAATTCCCAAGATTCTCCAGCCTACAGCTCTCCTTCACAACCTCCCCATGTTTTGAATCTGATCATTTTTTGCTCTTGCCAGTGGCTGGCAAACCATCTTCTCCCAGTCTTCTTGTATTTCCACTTGGAACAGGAAACAGCCCCTGTGCAATCACACCAAACGTGGCACATAAATATCCTGCCTTCCAAGGTTTGTCCACAGTTTGATCCTGAGGCTGTTTCTGAAGTGATGACCTTTTTCCTTTTAATGCAGGAGTTTCTTGACAGCTCTGAGAGCAACAGATATGAGGATAAATGAAGCTCTGAATGGGATAAGAGAAACCAAACAACCTCCAGAGTGAGGAGAGCGTCACTTCCTGTTATTTATGCTGAAATCCATATCAAGAGAATCATGGACATTTGGGAAGAGTTTAACTACACTGGGACTGCTGGGGGCATCTCTCTGATCCAAAGCACCTCCACAAGAAAGGAATCAGAGAACCACAAAATCCCTGAGCTGGAAGGGTCCCACAGGGATCACTGATCCAGCCCCTGTTCCTGCCCAGACCCCCCAACAATCCCAGCCTGTGCATCCCTGGCAGCGCTGTCCAAATGCTCCTGGAGCTCTGGCAGCCTCAGGCTGTGCCCATTCCCTGGGGAGCCTGGGCAGCACCCTCTGGGGGAAGAGCCTTTCCCTGATCTCCAACCTAAACCTCCCCTGGCACTCAAGCACTGCTCTGGCCATTCCCTGGGTCCTGTCCCTGGTCACAATGAGCAGAGATTGGAGCTGCCTGTGCTGCCCAGTTTGGCTGGAAATCCCACTTGGTTCAAAAAAATCCAGCCAGGAGAAATTGTGGAGTAGACAGAGCAGATATTACAGCAGAAACGATCTCCATGCACAATGGGATCCCAAACTAATATCCCCTCTAACACTGGAGTTACAAACACTTTGTTCCACTCTGACCTTCTTCCACCCCCTAGACAACAGGGAAATGCAATCCCTCTGCAGAGATGTTTCCAAGGAATTGTCTGTCACTGGGTTAATGACAGCCTGGCTGAAAGCCCTCCTGGGCTCACAGGGATAGATCCAAGGAATACAGAAAATGCTATGCAAGAATACTCTTCAAAATCCTCTATGTTGCCCTGGCATGGTGTTGAAGCACATTTCTGTCACCAGCTCTGTGGGAAAGACACCAAAACCACCCAAGGGACAGAAACCAAATCTTTTTCACAGAATTATGGTGTGGTTTGGGTTAAAAGGGCCTTAAAGCTCATCCAGTTCAACCTCCTCTTCCACTAGCCCAGGTTATGAGAGTGTACTCCCTATAAGCCATAAAGCTCTTAGATTCATGGAAAAGTCTTATTAATAAGTCAGGCTACAAATGTTATTTAAAGCTAGGAATCTTATCTTACCTTTTCCCTCTTCCCCCCTATTTTTTTTAATAGTTTGTGTTTTTATTGAGATGCCCAAGTCACATAAATCCTCCCTAATTTCCCAAATGCAATCAAATAAAACAGGCAGTGGTTTATGAATTGACCAGCCAGACTGGATGAAAACCCACTCTAGAACTATCAATTTAATTAACTAAATGAATTTATCTATCAATTTAACTATCTAAACTACTCTAAAGTGATCAATTTCATTTTACCAGTACACAGGTACCCACATGAGATCATCCAAAAACTCCTCTATTTTTCCACCTGATGTTCTAAAAATCAAAGCATTTTTAGTCACTAATACAGTGCCTTTAGAAACGGAAAATCAATTTTTGCAGGAGAAATAAAATGCTTTCCCTGATTTTGAATTTGACAAAGATGCATTTTCCTTAAAGGGGAGAAAATCTGACGTAATCCTGGGTAAGTAACATAGACCAGTGGTACAACCAGAAATGGAAAAGGTCTGTGAGGGTGGGGAGGTTCTGACACAGGTTCCCAGAGAAGCTGTGGCTGCTCCTGGATCCCTGGAAGTGTCCAAGGTGAGGCTAGACAGGGCTTGGAGCAGCCTGGGATAGTGGAAGGTGTCCCTGGCCATGGCAGGGGGTGGCACTGGATGGGCTTTAAGGTCCCTTCCAGCCCAAACCAGTCTGCGATTCTCTGCCCTTCATTAGCGTCAAAATACTTCCAGGTTTTTTTTGCTGTTGCAACTTCCACAGGTTTTATAGCATCTTTGAATGGACAAATGCCATGATTTTTCCTTAATTACTGGATATAAATGTACTGAAAATACTGAGGAGAAATTCCTGCAGCTCCTTATCTTCTGCCTACTCCAAAAGTGAGTCCCTGTGAACTGAATAACCCCCAGCATGAGCAAGTTTATCAAAATCGGTTCTCCCCCAGGTGTGGTAGATTCTCCAAAGCACAGGAATTCCATCCATGAGCACTTCCCTGCCTGTGCCAGCACATCCAGCCTCCCATAGCCCATCCTCTTTGCAAATGGATCATAATGGAAGTGCCAGCTTAGATTCTGCCTGATTGATAAATAACCTCTGCTCAAATAGGGAAGAAGCAAAGTGCATCAATTTGATTAATTCTCCCATTTGGTTCATGTTTATAAAAAAACCCAAAAAAACCTGTCTGACGCTTTTTAGAGCTGGTAACTAGAACGCAATCTCATGTCTACACTGCAATGGACATGCCAGTGTAATTTCAAATAAGCCCTTTCAGTTTAAAGGTTTAATCCACATATTGTGGCAGCCTTGTTGTTGCCAAATAGAAATTTCAATGGGAACCACCCAAAAATCTACATTTTGTTATAAGGATGTTGTAATAATGCTCATGTTTCTTGGCAGGGAATGTAAGTGCCAAGACCGTCCGTAGGAGGGCAAAATTGTTTTTTTCCTTGCGTATCATCTAATATATTCCAGAGGTAGAGGAAGCCTGAAAGCCAGCATTTCTTATTTAGGATCTTTAGTTTTTTTCATTGTCTCCCTATCTGAGAATTCAACATTTATCAGCAATGCAGGTGAGTGCTCCCATTTCCTGTCCACCTTCCTTCCTGCATTCAAATATTCCTATATTGACTTAACCACCTTTTCCATTTCACAATTTTCCATAATATCTTAACAGGAGAAAAAAAAATTGATCTTCTCATATCAGAGGGAATATTTTAAAGATTAAATTGAGTGTGTGCTGCAAAAATAGCAGCTTTTCTGTTTGAAGGGAAACATCACACATTGCATGCCTCCAGATAAAACAGAATCAAATCCTACAACTGTGAGAAATGAGAAATGTGCAACACAAGAAGCTGAAGGTTTGATTTGGTACAAGCCTGAGCCATTATTCCAATGGTCCCTGAAGGATACAGCATTAAAACCTCTATTGTTTTAACAGGCTGCACATCATCATTCTTATGGACTGATACTTTTCCTTATTTTCCCTGACTGCACATTTACCGCATCAACAAGAACCTCCTAAAGCCTCTAAACATGGCATTAATGACCCAAGCTGCTGTTTAGGCACAGAAAATACCCTCCCACACCAGCTAATTGATTTTTTTAATTGATGTATTGTGCTCCCCAAGTTTGGGAATAAAGGGCTACAGGGATTTAACCGATAACTCAGGATATTTAGAGTCATGGAATGGTTTGGATTGGAAGGGACCTTAAAGCCCATCCAGTGCCACCCCCCGTGCCATGGCCAGGGACACCTTCCACTATCCCAGGCTGCTCCAAGCTCTGTCCAGCCTGGCCTTGGACACTTCCAGGGATGGGTTGAGCTTTGTGGCTTTTCCCAGCAATAGGATGGGCAGCAGGAGGAGCATTCCCAGCAGGGCAGGGAGGGATCCTGCCCCTGTGGGCAGCCCTGGAGGCAGCTCTGGAGTGCTGTGTCCAGCTCTGGCTCCTCAGCACAGCAGGGCCAGGGAGCTCCTGGAGCGGGGCCAGCGGAGGCTGCGCAGCTGAGGAAGGGCCTGGAGCATCTCGGTGCCCAGGAAAGGCTGAGGGAGCTGGGGCTGCTCAGCCTGGAGAGGAGCCCCAGCTGAGAGGGGCCCTCAGGCCTGGCTGGCCCTGGCTGCAGGGAGGGCTCCCAGCAGGGCCCAGCCTCTGCTCCGGGGGCCCAGCAATGGCACCAGAGCCACGGGCAGGGCCTGATGGCAGCAATTCCCCCTGGCCAGGAGGCACAACTTCTTCCCTGGGCAGTGCCCAGCCCTGAACACATTGGCCAGAGAGGCTGTGGGCTCTCCTGCCTGGGGCTGTGGCAGAGCTGTGTGCACACAATGCTGTGCCCTGTGCTCTGGGATGGCCCTGCTGGAGCAGGGAGGTGGCACCAGGTGCCCTCTGAGCTCCCTTCAGCCTCAGCCATCCTGGGATTCTGTGAATATTCACTACTCAAGTATGAATTATTCACTGCTACCCCTGCCTGACCCGTGCTGGGATACTGTGAACATTCACCACTCACACAGTTATCTGTATCCCTATGATCTGCTAGAATGGGTTGTGAACTGAACATGTGAGTTAGAAACCAGCTGCATTCTCAGGACAACGGGGCTCATAAAAAGCGAGTGGACAAGTGATGCTGAGTTTGTTCACACAATGTAACATGACGTGTTAGAACTCTGCCAGGGTTCATTCCCTTTCCACAAACGCTTCACACCCTTCTTCCCCCTGATGGTGCTAAATGACGCCTGACAGGCTAAAAAGGAAAACTGCAGAAGAGACAAGCAGGCCCACCCCACATTTTCTCCAGACCTTTTTGTTTTCCAAAGAACATAAAAGGACTGAAAAAACTCATCCCAAATTACCTTAATAACCAAGTCAAACTTCTGGTGTAAATCCCTGTTTACCGGCTTGAGGAGCGTCAGTTCAGCCGTTGTGAGATTCATATGGAAATACTGGGGATAATCCTCAGGAGTACCTGCAAAAAAGACATTGAGGTTTTAACAACTCTGAAGGGTTTAGTTCAGCAGTGTGTTTATTTTACTCATTGATCATCAAAGCAACAAAGCCTCATTCTCTTATTAGAAGGATAAAATATTGCCCTATGTGGACATGGAGATTAAGGATATTATGAACTTATGTGTTTAGAATTATTATTTCCTTATCTCCAAACCCACAAAGATTCCTCTCAACTGGGACTCACTAAGTACTTGATAACAACAGGAATATCATTAATAGCATATAAATAATATATATAAGTAATAAAACAATAACAATATGATAACAATAGGTAATTTTAGAAATCCTTCTAAGAAAAGTTTCTCCTCAGGGAGGAAGTACCAGATTGATTGTCAGTTGGAAACGGTGTTTTCATGGCTGTGGATTTCCAGGATATTCTCTAAGCTAGTAAAAACAGAAGCCTCAGAGCCCAGATGGATTTAGGAGCCCATGGAGACTGAGAAAGGGCTGTGCCTGGCTGTGCCAAGGCTGTGCCTGGCAGATGCAGTGCAAAAATGTGCCTATGCCTAAGCCAAACGGTTCCAGCACCACAGCCTGGCACAGGAGGAGGGAAAAATTCCAGCCACAGCAATTCTGAGCCCTGGGATTCTCAGAGAAATGATGAAAAAGGGCTCAGAAAGCCCAAGTGTTCCACACAGAGTGAACTCCAGCATTCCCAGCTCAGCAACACTGTGAGAACATCCCAAGAAACAAAATTCTAAGTCTAAAATCTTGATGGTTTAGGTATGGGAGCAGTCCTGTCAGCAGCTGAGGACAGGATGTGCTCATGACTCAAGGGAGAAGAGCCCCAGAACATCCCTGAGCCCTGGGAGCCCCTAAAGCTGCCGTGGGAACAGCACAAACCCGACCCTGCCAAACCCCGAATCCAGCCAGCACTGAGGCACAGATTCAACACAAGGGAAGATCACTTTCCTGATAAATGCTGCTGGTTTTTGTTTCCCTTGCAAGTGCAATGGCTAGAGAGTACTTTCAGAAAGCCAGGAGATAAATTACTGCAATATTTTAATTTGCAAACCTCAAATGACAACTGTTTGCTAGATAAATAAATTATATATATATTTATATATATTATATATGTGTGTTTTTCTGTGACTCTCTGAATCTACACCTCTATCATAGACCCAAAATGCAGCAAAAGAATCACCATGGATTATTTTTTCTCTTATACCACCACCACAAATTCAGAGCTTCAAGCTCCAAGTCCTGTATCCCCTTGCCTTGCCTTTTAATTTCAAGTTCTAATTAATTAATCTAATTTTTGGAGAGCACAAGGCCCCTGGCAGGACCTCCAAACTTTTGGCAAGTAACAGATTGCTGGTTTTAGAGGCTGCACATCACCACGGCTGTTGATGAAGCTAAGAAGTGTCACAAAATTAGGGACAAAATGCAAAAACGCCGAGAAAGGAGAAAACAAGAGGTGCCCTAAAGGAGAACAAATGCATAGGGGAGGAGGGTAAGAGTCACGAAGGGATCTAGAGAAGGGAAGATGAGGCTAATATTGTGTAAAGATGTCAGGAAAGAATACAGGAAAAAAAAGGGAAAAAAATCAAACCTCAAAAACTCCACTAACAACCAACCCAACCTCAGCAGGTAAAGGAGGAAAAGGCAGCAAGGTGGATGATAGAAAAGCAAAAATTAAGGAACAACACAGGTGGATGCCCAAATCCTGACTGGGGATGCCTGCTCAGATCCTGCCCACCTCAGGAAGAGCTCAGATTCCTGTATTCCTAAAGTCTGGGAGCCAGGTTTTCCAGGAACAGGGATATCTGCTTCTGGATATACAAAATCATTTCCATTTTGACAGTGCAGAGCAGCCCTCAGTCCACCTCTGCCTGCTCTGAAATCCAGGGATGAGCTCCGATTCTCCTGGCTCCACAAATTCCATGTGTTTGGAGAGGCTGAAGAATCAAAATGTGGGGGGGGCAGCAAGGGGGAGAAGGAAAGGACTCCTCAATTCGCTTTTCCCAGAGCCAGAGGAGGCGTTTTGTGGAACCTGGGACTTGAAATGGACACAGGACTGGAATCTCCCCTTCCCAAAAGCTAGTGTGCGTTTCTGACTCTTTCTTAAGAATATCAACCAAAAGTGTCCAAAACTGGCAGCAGAAATCACACAGGGGCAAAAGCTAATAATTGGAAGGAAAATTTGGCTTTTCTCAAGGAGTGGTCCCAGAGAAAATAAGGTCTTCAAATTACTCCTAAAAAGAATATTTTACTAGTAATTTACTATTAAAAATAATACATTTTACTATAAAAAATAATAAAATTTTTAATCAAAATAATAAAAATTACTGGTAGAATCAACAACATTGCTAATAAAAATAAAGGGAAGGGCCTTGCTTCACACCTGGATAAGTTCAGCGAAAGTGGGTGTATTGCAAAGTCCCAAAGAAATAAACATTTCCACAAGCCAAGGACTGGAAAAAGTTAGTGTATTACAAAAAAATTTAAAAAAAATTCTAAATATCTTATTTCCAAATGTTAACAAATACGTCAAATATCCACAGTGCTCAGAGTATTTGCTTTGTTCAGGTGGGCAAAGAAAGAAGGGAAAAGAAGAACCAAATAAAACTGAGTCAGATTAAATAAAATCATTCTCATAAGTGACTTATTCCCGAATTCCATGGGCACAGTTCAAAGCTCCCAGTTTTTAAAAAAGGACATTCCCAAAGATATCAAGGAGAAGGAGGTTTAGATCTAAAGAAAAGGGGGAAGAAAATCCACATAATGAGAAATATCTGCAAGGCCCATTTCCTGTGGAACTACTTAATATCTTCTGAGGCTAAAACAGAAATAGCAAATCCTGGGAGAGATGGAGGGAGACTTAAAATCCAAAAAGAAATCCTTTGTAAGGGCACAGGGGAGGAAAAATAAGGAAAATAAAAAGAGAAAACCAGAAAAGTGGAAAAAAAACTGATTGAAGAGAGGAGAAAAAAAGGAGGAAAAAAGGAAGGTAAAAAGAAGCAAGCAAGTAAATTTTAAAAGAAAGAAAATAGAAAGTAGAAAAAAGGAAACAAGCAAAAAGAAATGAGGAAAAAAGATGGAAAAACTAAGAAAGAAGCAAAAAAGAAGAAAAAAGAAGGAAAAGAGAGAGAAAAAAGAGGGAAAAAGGAAAATAAAAGGGAAGGCAAAAGAAGGAAAAAATAAGAAAAAAGGAAGAAAATAAAAAGGAAACTATAAGAGGAAAAGAAGGAAAAAAGGGAAAGAGAAGGAAAATATGAAGGAGAAAACAAAAAAAGAAAAAAGAAGGCAAAAAAAGAAAATAGAAGGAACTGAGAAGGAAAGGAAAAAGAAAAAAGAAAAAGAAGGAAAAAGGCAAAGATTAGTGGCAAGTAAAGTAAAAAAGAAGGAAAATAGAAACTAGAAAAAAATAAATGAAGAAAAAATAAGGAAAAAAATAAAGGAAAAAAAGAAAGAAGGAATAGAAGAAAAGATGGGTAGAAGAATGAAAAAAGAAGGAAAAAAGAAAACAAAAAAAGAAAGAAAAAAGAGCAAAAAGGTTGGGGAGAAAGGGGAAAAGAAAAAAAGAAAAACATAAAGAAAGGAAAAAGAAGGAGAATAAGAAAAGTATAAGAAAAGAAGAAAAAATAAAGTAAAAAATGGAAGAATGAAGGAAAGGAGATGAAAAAGAGATGGAAAATTGAAAAAAAAGAAAGCAAAAAGAAAAAAAATGAAGAAATAGAGGAGGAAGGGAGAAAAAAATGTAAAGAAGGAAAAAGAACAAAAGAAAGAAGAAAAAGGAAAGAAGGAAAAAGAGGAATAAAAAGGAAGGAAAAATAAGGTCCCCGAAGTAACCCAAATTGCTGCACCACACCTTTCCGAATTATTTCATGGAGGTCAGACTAGCCACTCCAATATTCCCAACATCCCAGGTTAGTGACACACAAACTTTAATAATTTCACTCCTGAAGAACTCTGTAAATTATGCAAAAAACCTTTAGAAGTTGGCCTAAACATGGCCCTGGGGTAGAGCTGTCCCTGCAGAACTTAGGAATAAAATCAATTTATGACATTTATAAATAAGTCCTTTTGCAGAGCTAATCCTCCACAATGTTGTCCTCAATATCCTCTCTTCCACCTCCCCTTGGCTGAGAAAACCATGGAGTTCAACAGAGGAAAGTCAGGGAAAAGATGTGGTTCCACAACTTCCTGCATTTCCAGATCCCACAGAAAGGTCCTCGTGTACATTTTGGGAACAGCTGGGCAGGCAGAGCCCTGCAACTGCCAACCAACCTCAGGCCCTTCCATGGTCACATCCTACAAGCCCAGAAACAAATGCCAAACACAGGGAAACAGCAGGAAAAAAGAAGACAAAGCACCATAAACAACAAAAGAAACTTTAAATCAAAAAAAGGTGAGCTCACAGGCAGCAAAATTGGATGCAGTAAGATCCTTGGAGCTGCCCTGTGCCACATGATTTTTAGGATGAAATCTGCTCTAATTGCCTTTTTTTAGCCTCTTTTTTTGTGTCTGTCAATGGAAAACACATCCCAGCAGAGCTCTCCTTTCCTTCACTGTGTTGTTCCAACCAGACAACAATTCAGGATGCAATCTGAATAAACGCTAATAAATAACCATGTGAAATGAATTTCCACTTGGTAATTAAACACCAGCAGGTAGAACAATTCCAAACATCCCACTGACCACACAAGGATTTTTTATCAGGGTTCCACTCTCCCAGGTAATCTTTTCCTGGGTGGTCATAACAGAGGGACTGCTTGGGAGGGATAGGAAAAGTAGCAGACACCAACCAACTAGGATGGAATAGAGGATGCCAGGTCGTTCAGAAGGAGGCTGGATGTTTCGGTCCTGATCTATGGCTTGGATGGGTGGAGTGACACTGATGGGATTCACACGGGTCTGAAATGAGAAATCACATTGGAAACAGAGCAATTAGAAAGCCAGCTGGGAGATCTGGAGGTTTAGCACAACAACATCTCACTTGGAAGGGTATTGGAGGAGAAAAAACCTTCAGAATAAGAAGAATATTTACAACTCATGATCCCTTTAAATCCAAATTAACCAAGCAACATGAACATTTCTATAACAACCTCCTTTGTGTGAGATACAGCTTTAGGATAGATCCCATAGGAAAGGAATCACAAAATCCCAGAATGGTTTGGATGGCAAGGGATCTTAAAGCCCATCCTGTCCCACCCTGGCCATGGGCAGGGACACCTCCCACCATCCCAGGCTGCTCCAAGCCCCAAAGTCCAACCCAGCCTTAGAGGCTTCCAGGGATCCAGGGGCAGCCACAGCTTCTCTGGGCACCCTATGCCAGGGTCTCCCCACCCTTCCAGGAAACAATTCCTTCCTTATATTTCACCTAAATTTCTCCTCTGGCAGTCTGAAGCCATTCCCTGTGTCCTGTCACTCCAGTTCCTGATGAAAAGTCCCTCTCTAGCTTCCCTGTATCGCTTCAGACCCTGGAAGGTCTCTACACAACCTTCTCTTCTCCAGCCCCAAGTATCCCAGACTGGCTCCACAGGAAAAGTGCTCCAGCCCCCTTATCAGCTTAGAAGCTGATAGTAAACACTTGATAAAGGAAGTTCACAAATACTTGACTGTGTTTCTATAAATAGTCCCTCGAATCAGGGATTCCAGTCATCACTGTGAAACACAGCAAATGCCTGAAAATAGGAAAACAGCAAATTGAACTGGAGCACAATCAGGAGCTGGAATGGCTGTGATCCACAAATACACACTGCAAAAGAAAATTAAAGTACAGACATTTCAGGGATAGCTACATTGGAAAAGTGTGGATGGGTGTGGGAACAATTCACCATTATTTGGAAGTGAACTCAAATGTTTAACATGGTGATAGAATTGTAAAATCATGGTATGGTTTGGATTGGAAGGGACCTTAAAGGTCCAAAATTTCACCCCCTGCCATGAACAGAAACATCTTCCACTATCCCAGGCTGCTCCAAGCCCTGTCCAGTCTGACCTTGGACACTTCCAGGGATCCAGGGGCAGCCACAGCTTCTCTGGGCACCCTGTGGGATGCCCACCCTCCCAGGGACCAATTCCTTCCCAATATCCCATCTATCCCTGCCCTCTGGCACTGGAAAGCCATTCCCCCTTGTCCTGGCCCTCCATCCCTTTTAAAGAGTCTCCATTTTTCTTGTAGCTCCTTCAGGTCCTGCAAGGTCACAGTCAAGCCACCCCAAACTGGTGCCAGCTTTCATCTGTCAATCCAGCCTCCAGTGTCAGCTGCAGAGCTGCCATTCCCAACTCCCACAGTTTCAGTGACCTTGGCTGCTCAACCAACCACAGATGTACCACCCATGGATGTGTGCACACCAGGCTTTTCCCTCCCCTTGGAACATTTCCCTGCATGTCAAAAACCCTTAATGAGCTCTGTGAAAAACCAGACGCCCTTTTTTTCCCACATACAACTCGTCCTGGCAGCCTTTCCTTTGGAAAGCTCTGTGTTCTGCAAGAGGGGACTTGAAATTTAGCGTGGGAATAGAAATGAGACAAGTCCACACTTGGCCAAGTTTTGGCAGAGCTGTCAGGAATCATCCTGCTGAGAGCTGGAAGGGAGACGAGAGCTTCGGTGATGCTGAGGGAAAACTTAGAGGGAAAAGGGATGAGCAGAAGAAGAAGCAAAGGATGGAGGAAAGGCAGTTTATTGACCCCTTGTGAAGGTGTGGATGGGTAGCCCCATAGTCACCTGCCACCATACCCCAAGGTGTCACCCCCCCCAGTCATTTCCAACAGGTTCCTCAAGTCCAGAGGCTCTTCCAGCCTTTTCCACACCAAAGTAATTTAAGGTACAGATATGTCAGGGATAGGCACATTAAAAAGTGAGGATGGTTGTTCTCGGCCTCCCAAATTGGGACTAGGAAACTTCTCACTCCACTCCTGCTTATGGCTTTTGTCCCTGTCCCTGTCCCACTGGCCAGGTGCTTTGTCAGCACCCAATTCCATTTGGGACTCTTTGAAAAATTAAACTCTTAAAAGCATAATGAGGGAGACGAGCTCAAAATAGGCAGAAAGAAAGAGAGAAGAAGATATATTTGACATCTGCTTGAAATTTTAAAAGGCTTTAGGATGGCATACAAGTTGCATGGGAAGAGAGAATATTGTGCAGAAAACCGACCAAGGCTAAAATTCTATTTCAAGATTCACAGATCAGTTGGAGCCCTCTCAGAAAACCCCACATTTGAGTTAGAAACACACCCACAACAAAACCAATCCCATCAGTTATTCTGGGTTTAAACTCACCATTAATGCCCAGAGAAGCTGTGGCTGCCCCTGGATCCCTGGCAGTGTCCAAGGCCAGGCTGGACTTTGGGGCTTGGAGCCACCTGGGACAGTGGAAGGTGTCCCTGCCCATGGCAGGGGTGGCACTGGATGGGCTTTAAGGTCCTTTCCAATCCAAACCAGTCCAGAATTCTGGGATTCTATGATTCCAATATTGCAGGCCAGGCTGAGTCTAAGCTAAACCAAGACTAAGATCAGAATTGTTCAACAAATAACTTGGATAGCAAGGACAATGCCTTATTTTACAGTTCAAGGAAAAGTTGTAGAGAAGCACTTAGAACCCCTGCATTTAAGATGAAAACAGGTTCTGGCTGAACAGAAGATATTTTATCCCACACTTCCAGCATTGCACCAACCCCTGGGAAACAAAGCACTCAGTTGAATAGAAACAAGAGCAATAGGGCTATGAATTATAAGGAAGCTGAGAATGAAAAGTGAAATCCATTAATTTTTTTTCTCCAGGTACTCTACACACCTAAAATGGGCTAGGAGATATCATGCACCATCTGCTGAAACTTTCAGGGATAGAATCATAATCAAATCATGGAATGATTTGGGCTGTAAGAACCTTAAAACCTATTCTGTTCCACAAAACCATGGAATTCCATTCTGAAGCCACTGGGAATTCCATCCCAGCACCTGCCCACCCTCACAGGGAATGATTTCTTCCCAATATCCAATCTAAATTTCCCCTCTGTCAGTTTGAACACATTCCCTCTTGTTCTGTCACTCCAGATCCTGTTGCAGGGTCCCTCTCCAATTTCCCTGCAGCTCCTTCAGACCCTGTATGGGACTGTAGGGTCTCCCCACAACTTTCTCTTCTCCAGGCTGAACGGCGCAAAATTTAATAATTTGAAGCTGTTTTGAGTTAAATTGGCTGATGTGCCTTGAAGGAAAACTCAAGGTACTTTCATATTGCTTTAATAATCCACAGACAATGCAGAATCTTTTTCATTCAAATTTAGAAATTAGAACTACGGAAACATAAAACAACGAAGCAGCCATTACATTAATAGTGGGTAATAGTACATTAATAAATTAATCAAAGCACACATAGGAAGTTTAAGAAAGTGTGCATATGCTTTTAATCAGAAATAATTATTTTTAAAATGAGGAGTCAAACTAGGCATCTTCCATAGGCATCCAACATCCTTGCAAGAGGCATAAAAATCCCATACCAGGCTCCTTCTCAGGACTTTCATGAGGAGATGGAAGCTTATTATAAGGACAAGAAAACAGATTAATGAAGGAGTGAAGTGTCTGAGGTGCCCATGGGTGCCAACTGGAGGCAAAGCAAGAGCACGGGAGGCTTTGGCAGGGCAAAGCTGGAAAAAGTGCTGGGAAAGTCAGCACAGAGCCACAGCAGGGCAGGGAGATCACTCGGAATAAACAGCTGGCCTTCAAATCCCAGCCTCTGCCAAGGGGAACATGAAAGGCTACCCAAGCTCTGGCAGAGACAGGTGATTAAAAAACAAACAAGATCTTGCTTGTCTGAGGGTGGAATATGCACTCATTTTTTTTCCTCATTAGGGAAAAGCTCCCACAGTTATTGGTGTGGTGATTAATTGACTTCCAGGTGTTCAATGTAGCAGAACTGGGTAGGCCAAAAAGCAGAACCCCAACCTCACCTTGCAACTCCTAGCACAAATATTAATAAATTTTAAAAAACCCTCCTTCAAACAGAGCCGTGATGGGGAGCCTGCCAGGTAGTCTGCAGGGCCACGAGATGATCAAGGCAGAAAAATACTTAAAAAAGCTCAGAGAGAATAAGGTAGCAGCAAAAACCTCATTCCCTCCACTCTTTTGTGTTCACCATGGAAGCACAGCAGCACCTTCTCCATGTGGGGTGTCCAGCAGGTCCTGCAAAAATCCATGGCCTTCAGAGATATTATGGATGGAAGAAGGCAAATTAAGAATCCCATTTGTGCCAGGGGGTTTTAGGCTCCTACAGAGGATAGCGAATAAAAGAAACAACTGATATTTTTAATGAATGTATTTAAATGGTGCTTAATAACTCAGGAGTGCAGTTGCATTCAAAATTCCAAACAGGATTTTTAGGCATCAGCCTACGTATTGATTTCACAATCCCATGATCCCATGGAATGATTATGAGGGAATCTACAACTGAGATGCAGAATATGCATTTGGGGCTTTCAAGAACAAGAAACAAAAAAAAGAAAAGCACCCCAAAATAAACATGACTTTTAAAATAAAATTAATATCTTTTCCAATATTTTTAATGTATTTTATTTAAATTATTTTAGGATGTCCAGGAATGCCAGGCTTCCAATAGAAGGATGTGGACAGTGTGAAATTATTTTTAAATTTTTAAATTAAAGTCAGGGTACAACAATAATTGTTCCACAGTTGATAACAAGGATTTAAAAAATCAGATTTTCTATCTTCTCCATCCACCTGAGATGCAAAGCTGAATTTGCCAACCATTGATACTTAAGGAAAACTTCCTCTTTTGGAGAAGATGAAAAAGAAAAGAGAGGAAATGGCACATTTTGGGAGTTGGAATAACATAATTTTCTCCTTAGAGCTTCTTTTTCCATTGATGAGGGGGTTTATGGTGTATTTTGGGGGGT